CACGCAGAGTGACCTGTCCACTTTACCCTATATGGGAAAGAAAAGGGCATCAAGGCCAGTGGGAACAACAGAAACTCACCCCATCTGCTGCTGGGTTTACTCTGGAATCTGAGCTTCACAAAGAGGTAGATGGTGAGATACCAGTGTCAGGAACTAGCCTCACGATGACAAACCTTAGATAGGAGTGAGTCTGCCCCTGTGGGAATGAATTCCCACTCTTCAACGAGGTCATTGACCCTGTGATCTCCAGTGACACCAAATATGCGAGTCATCCTTGCGCAGGGGCCATGCTAATCTTCTCTGCCTGGTTCCAGTTCTAGTATACGTGCTTGGTGTAGCTCAAGGGTAGAGCACTGGACCACGTGGCCTTTCTAGATTCCGAGTCCCATGGAGGTGCCTGCGATTGGCTGCACCTAAGCATGGGCTAATATTCCAGAGTCTAGGAAGGGTCTACCTCTGCCCTGCTCAGCTTCCATGGTTGGAAGGGCCTTGCTGCACATCTGTTGTGTTATTTGCTCCCAAAGAGAAAGGGCTTGGGGGAGGCAAAGCATGTGGGAAAACCTGTCCTGCAGCAGATTCTTCTGAATCTGCCTCTGCCGAATGGAGGAAGGTAGCTTGGTCTCTCCACAGCTTCTCCATCATGCCAGTAAGTGTTGTGCCCGCGAACGACAAACGCAGCCCCCAAGAAATCAAGGACAGCTGATGCAAGCACAAAAGGGAGTTTAATGCAGAATTGAGTCTGGACTCACGACACCCATCGACGCAGCGGTGGATGGCGAGAGCCTGAACTGGGGAAACGGGAAGGTATTTATAGGGTTACAGGCAGGCATAAATTTTAAAATAAGCTGGCAGTTACTCATTGGCTACTGAAAGGCATTTCTGGAACGGGCGCAACTCAAACTCAGTTGATTGGCCAGGGATGCCGTGGTCTCCCTATTTGGTCGTCCCTTTTCCTGTTGGCCACCAGGGTGGTCCGAGAAGGTGAGGCGAGGATGAGACATAGTTCAAGAATGTTGCATCATCTTTCAGGAAACCGAAACTTAAACCTAAAATTCTAAAATGGCGGTTATACACACAAAATGGCGAAACAGTGGTCAAGCGCATAACAATCCGGTTTCACATAAGTAGATCTCTGATCCAGCTAAGCTGCTTGGAGTGCTGGGTCATTGCAGCCGAAGAATCTGGTCTCTTTTTTCTGCCTCCCCTCCTGAGGCACTCAAGCAGGGATGGCACCCCGCCCCCGCCCCAGGACACAAGTGGGTGTTGGCCACTTAGTGACTGAGCATCCTGGAAGACCCAGCACAGTTAAATATGGGAAGGCCTGCCTTTAGCTAAATGCCAGGGGTGCCACTCTGGGGAAGCATGGCCCCCACATTGACGTGACCCACATCCCTCAATGCCGTCTTTTTACCGAACGTGGCTCTTCACAGTTGGCAAAACCACACATTGGCCATCCCACCGTGTAAACCAACTCTTCTTTTATAGCCAGGGATGCCGAGGGCAAAAGAGAAAGCACCATCTACCCCAGTTGAACAGCTCGGTCAGGAATCGGTTCTCCCGCCCCAGCTCAGGGCTTTTCAGCCACACTCGCTGCCCTGGCTCTTTTCATGGAAGCCAGCCGGGGATGTCCAGATTTCCTTTGAAGTGTTTCCAGAGACCTCCCTGAAGGCTTTCTGGTGATGGCTCACAGGCTCGGGGCCCTGGGCGCCAGGGTGCCACCTGCTGATGCCAAGAGTAAGAGGAAAGAGGCTGCCTGTGGTAGAGGCTAAACTTTGTGGGCAGGGTTGACACCCAATAAAAAGAATAAGCAGCGAGCTGGAGTCTCACCCAGGGGAGGGTGCAGATTTGTAGAGACCTGGAGCAGTTGCTTCTACCAGATAATCACACAGGAACTAATTAGCACCTTCCTTCCGAGATCAGCCCTCTGGGGCAGAAGGATGCTCAGTGGAGAAGAGAAACCCATTAATTACTTTATCAGGAAGCACTGATAAGCACCCAAAAAAGGTATTGCTCTAAGGCTCACAGCTAATTAAAGAGGGCTGCAGGGTGACGGGTACCTGTCTCACCCTGGAGAACCAGCACTTGCTTTGATCCTGGGCCTCTGGCCTGCAGCCCCAGACTGAGAGCAAGTAGGTGCTTCCGGTCCGGGAAACTCTGTCCATGCAGTCGAGCAACCCAGGCCTGGGGTCACTGGGATCAGTGCCAGCGCAGCCTAGCTGGAGGTGGGGAGGGCGGTAACCAGGTCTATTTCCCAAGACTCCTCACAAATAGCACCAGGAGCTTTTAACATTCTCTGTATGTCTTTCACTCAGGCTATTATCATGCCCATCTCGTGGGGGAGGGAAATGAAGCTCAGAAAATATAAAAAATCTAGTCAGTTTCTAGTGAGGAGAGGCAGAGGCGGGACTGGAACTTAGAACTCCAGGACACAATCTGGGTTAGGTGCACGGCGCAGGCCTGCAGGGGTCTTACAACCAGGCAGACCTGGGTTCAGTCCTGGCTTCCTTAACTTTGGGGGCAATCCCTTCATTTCTCTGAACTTTGGTGTTCTCATCAGTGAAAAGTCTTAACAATACCTGTTCAGCTGCTTATGAGGAGTATCTGTCACAAGAGGACACGCACATCACCTAGAATGACGTCTGGTAGACATTAAGTCTCGAATGTTCCCGTTTTCAAACTGGTTTTTAACTGCAGAAAATTCTGTTCAAAAGTAATCACAGGGACACCCAATCTCTTCTCCCCACTCCCCTGACCCCGCCACCCCCCTCTCCTCTCCATCCTGCTCCAGCTGACTTGCTGCCCAAGGCCCAGAATTCCTCAGAACAGTAGTGGACAACCTGCATGGGAGAAAAGCAAAAGCAAAATGGTGGGACATCTCAAGGTCTCTGAATAAATGCCCAACATGAATGCAAAGAGTGTCCTTTCATCACACAGAGGCCGTTGTGAACCACCACAGGAGTTTTTCTGCCAGAAGGACTAATGGCTTTAACCAAGCCCCTCTTGCCTTGTTACCTGGCTAGGAAGAGGGGGGAATACAACCCGCATAAATGGGAGCATACCATGACTTTGGCATCCAGTCCTACACTCTGACCCCCCTAACCCCTCCATGCATCCATTTCAGGCTTTTCAGGAAAGTGAAAACTCCTGGTGGAATGCCTTTCCTAAGGACATAGCAGACAAGAACAGGTGGAGCGATACTGAGTCTGGGTCCCAGAGGTAAAGTGTCATGAGGACTCACCCCCATTCCTCGAGGGGAGAGACCATCTTTGCAAATCCTGAATGTAAAGCTTTGCCTAGCAGGAGTTAAACGCTTCTTTATTTCTTCACTAAAAGTGACTCAGAACCACTACCTATATTGACTTTCTTGGAGATTGGGTGTGAGGGGAAGAAAAAGGGACATTTGTTGTGGGTCCTCCTGTGAATTTATATGTAATTATTATAGAGGTCCTTAGAGCCCATGGATATTTGTTCTCCTGCCTTTGCCATCCTCTGCCAAGTTGGTTGCTCAAAAGTGAACTCGTACTGATTGAACAACTACATGTCTCCCACATGTTTGGAACTTGCTAGTTACCCTCAGGTGTTATATAATTTATTTCTCAAAGATAACAATTCAGGGATTTTTAAAAATTATTATTTTATTTTATTTGGTACATTTTTTACATCATTTTTCATTTTTGCACAATGTATGCATTTTCATCTTGGTTATAGTCCCCATACAATTCCCACCCTCCTTGTTTTGACTCTATTCCCTCTTCCCTTCTCCTCTCCCCTCAGTGTGTCTCTGGTTTATAGTTGCTTGTTGATTTTGATTTTTACTTTATTAGAATTAGTCTTTTTCCTGGTCCTTTATTTAGGTTTTTTAAATTCCTGCTATGAGTGAGACCATCCGGTAATTTTCTTTTTCTTTCTGGCTTAATGCTCCTGCGCTGCTGGTGGGAGTGCAAACTGGCCCAAACACTATGGAAAGCTGTGTGGAGATTCCTCAACCTGCTAAAGATGGAGGTTCCATATGAGCCAGCAGTTCCACTCCTCAGTATTTACCCAAGGACACAGAATCATTAATTCAAAATTCAGGGACTTTTTATTTCAATGTATGGGCATGAAACTAGGGATCAAACCGGGTTGTGGTCTCCATGTGACCTCACAGCTATCAGGTGTCCAGGATTTGAGGTCCACCTGAGGTTAAGTCTGCTGCCCCCTCAAGCCATCTCCATGAAAGCTTTCTGGAGAAATCCTCCCTATGACCAGCTATTCTAGACACTGACCAGAAAAAGAAGCCAGAAGCATAGGACAGCATAGGACATGAGAGAATAGGGAGACCTGAGTTCTAGTCAGTTCTAAGTTTAACCAGCTAGTTCTCTTGTGTAGATCTTAGTGTTTTCATCTGTGAAGCAGAGGGAGTGGCTTCGTAGCCACTTCCTGCCCTGCCACTCCACCCCGTGACTGCCCGAGTGTATCTGGAGGCAGTTGTGCTGGGTTCTGTGTCTCAGCGTGATGTGCTGATGGTCCATGGGCTCTTCCTGCCTGTGCTCAGGCATCCCCAGGAAGGCAAGCCAGGCAGGCCTGCTCCCTACTCCCCTAGCCCCTAGTTATTGCCCTTTGCCTGGGTTCTCAGCTTCATAGAGCCTGTCTAATCTGTGTGTGAGGAAGTTAGGAAGGAATTAGGACCCCAGCAGGTGGCACAGCCCCCTGGTGGCTGTGGAGGAGGCAACTGTGGTGTGGCAGCCAAGCTCCCCAAAGTCCTCTGGAGCTGTGCGCCCCGACAAAGTAATGCTGGGATTGTTTTAATGAAAAGGTAAATGCATGCTGAACTGTGATCGTGTTTAATTTTCTGGTGTGTGTAGAAGTGTGTGGCAATTGTAGAGTTGTTAAAAAAAAATCAAACACGAAGTAGGGTGGTGTCACAGCTCTCCAGATGAGTGAGAATTGTTTGGAACTCTAGCACAGTCACTCAGAACTCAGAATCAACCATTCTCTGGAAGTGTCTTTCACCCTGAGGTGTTCTCAGCAGTGGCAGAATCACTGGATTGGTGTAGAGGTGAGCAGGGCATGGGTGAGAAGCGTGGGAAGCAGGCCGAAGGCATCAAGTCTAGCTCAGTCACATATGATCTAAAAGAGGCACTTGGAGCTGCTAGAGACCCAATCAAGAGCTGTGACTCTTGTCCTCATGGAACTTAGTGTCATGGGGAGGGAAAAGACAATAAATAAAGTAATAAATACGTACGAATCTCGAATTGAGAAGGTGCTAGGGAGGTAAGACAGAGTGGTGTAATGCAGAATAGGTGTGTTGTGTGGTGGTGTTAGTGGGCAGACTCAGAGGGTCTCTGGGGCCCACAAATCTGCACACTCTAATGGGTTCTCCATCACTGAGTAAAGACAAAACCTACTCTTAGTGCATAAGATCTTCACTAGAAAGGAACATTAATACAATTAGTGTGCATAAAGAGAAGAGAAAGGACATAGTTTCCCAATGAAACACCCAAAGTCACCCATCCCTATGTGGGGGGAAATGCCCAGCCAATCAGCATTGGCCCAAAGCACAGCCACTGAGGCCCAAAAGCTCGCCACAAGTTGAAGGCAACTTCTGGTGGGGACCCATAGGGAAGGGCAGGAGGAACCAGGCAAGTCTGGAAGGCAAAGAGCAAAACTAAAGTACAAATTAAAACAAAGGCTGCCATTGTCAGCTTCCCCAAGGGTCCCTCACCCACATTTCTTCCAAATATCTCCTCCTGTTAGGGGAAAAGGATGTCCTGTGCTAATCCCATACAGACTTTGTGGACTCCACTCCCACTCCAGACCAAAGCCATCAGGACATTGGGAAAGACAAATCCCGTCACCACCAAAGGAAAGGTGGCTGGAACCTGAGGGTGGGGTTAAGCAGCCAGGTTGGGTATAAACACCAAACATGTGGGCCTTGGGGTCTCTCGCTCGCTGTCACTCGCCTCCTGGCTTCACGGCTCCTGGCTTGCAGCCAGCTCTCAGAGCACCATTTGGGATTCCAGATCAGCAGATCGGGTAGGACGTATTTAAAACTTTGTCTCCCACTTTTCTCCCTGAGTTGTACATTTCCTCATTTCCCCTTCCCTTGTAAATAAACCTTTTATTAACCTTTCGCGTGTGCCTGCAGTAGAGCATTGATAAGTCCTTTTAAGCGCGCGGGTGAGGACCCACAGTCAGGCACCCCGTTTTGTATCGGGGCTGCCCTATAACAGTTTGGCGCCCCACTCCCACATCCCTCAAGTTCCTGCTGCAAGTTCAAGGCCAAGAAACAAGTGTGGTTTCTTCAAGTGTCTCTCCAAGTGCCTCCTCCAAGTCTTCTCTCACTGCTTCCGGTCTCCTCTCCCAAGTCCTTTTAGTTTTCCCTCACTGCTCAGCTCCACCTTTCATTAGGTAGGGCAGGGAGCCTCCCCTTTTTAGATTACACTATTACAGCTGGGTGATGGGAGGTGGAGGAGAAGCTTCTATTAAAGCAAGTTTGTCAACTGTTTGAGTTGAAAGTCAAGGAATCAGCTGGTCTAAATGCCAGGAAAGAGCCTAAAGCAAGGTCAAAGGACCTTAAACAGGGGCCTGCAAACTTTCTTTGAAAAAGTCAGCTAGTAAACATATTAACCTTCATGGTCCATAAATCTCTGTATTGTTGGTGTTTCAATAAAACTTTATTTATAAAATAGAAGCAATTCCAATAAGCTTTTATTTACAAAATACAAAACTAGTAGTATTCTGCCAGTTCATGTCCTAATCCAAGAAAGCACTGGGTGTGTGTTAGGAAAGAATTAGGTTGATTAGGGAGTGAGGAGGGGAATCTCGATGTGAGTGGAATGGCAGGAGGATGTTTCTAGGGGGCCTTATACATCAAGGAGCTTAGCTTTCATTCTAAGTGCACTGGAAAGGCTCAGCAAGCTTTTAAAGCAACAAAGAGATGTGATTTAATTCATACTTTTAAAAGAGTACTCTGGTTACTGAGTGGGGAGAAAATTGAAAAGAGGAAATATAGGGGAAGCAGGAAGAAGACTCACTTATAATCTACCACCATAGCTACAATCTTGCAAGAAATGCTGGTGGCCTTGTCTTCCATAGAGGTGAAGAACATGAAAGGCGTGGAGTTGTAACTTGGAGGCAGACTCTACACATCTTGCTGATGGATGCATGTGGACTGTGACAGACCTCGTGTGGCACCTGGGTTTCTGCTGGAGCAAGTAGGTGGATTTCCAGAGCTTAGAAGATAGGAAATGGAGGGGTCAGGGGGTAGACTTGGGAAGGAGAGTCAAAAGTTTAGTCTCAGAGCTGCTGAATTTGAGATGTTTGTTAGACATCCAGGGAGGGAAGAAGAGTAGCAATGATGAGTCAATGTCTCAGAGGAAGAGTGTCTTAGGGTTGGACAATGTTCCTTGGGTGACCTCCCCACGGTCATAAAACTTCATTGCCATCACTGTTGCCTCACCTCCGGATATTGCCGCCTCACCGCTAGGGATAAGGGTCAGTCTTCATTCAGATTTCCATGACTCCTACCACATGAGGGACCTCAGTGGCTCCAGACCCCACATCCCGTCTGCTGGATCCCTGGAGTCTCTGACTTCCCCCACTCCCTGCCAAGAAAAGCCCAGTGACATCACCAGAACCTAACAACATAAGAGGCAAACTTTAACCATGTGAAAGGGGAGATGGGTAGGAGAAGATGCATTGTTCCCCCTTCACCCACTGTTCAAAGAGGGATTCATATGGCCTCTCTGGATGCCTCCCAGGACCCTGCAATCAGCTGCACATTTTCTTGTGAGGCTGTGGCCTATTCTAAAACACACCACCTTATGTTGGCTTCCTTTCTGTCGTGACTTACTGCTGTTTGTCTCTCAGTCCTGCTTTTTGGGGGTTATATCCTCCAATAATACATTAACCCCTGAGTTTTAGCTCAAGTTCTGTTTTGTTGCGGACTAGATTCACGTAAGGAATTTACAGGCTGAATATAGTAAGCATGAGGTTGTGGTGTGAGCAGAAGAAAGCCTGGCACAGGTCGAATGAAGACAGCATGGTATATTCCAAGACCCGAAGTGAGTTCAGGAGAACTAGGTTGTAATATTGGTGGGTACAGTGAGAGGTGAGTCCAAGAGCAGACAAGACATGGGAAAGAACAGAAATTTTATTTGATTTAAATCAGCATTTTGCAGTGTGGTGTCAAATCATTGTAGATGTATCTTTATTTATTTAATTTTTTTAAAGATTTATTTATACAAGCACTGGGTACAGTCAGAAGCGCGGGAGGGTGAGAGAATTCACCAGAGCCAGAGTGGGAAGCAGAACAGGCAGACTGACGAAGTACACTGCTGAGGGGAGCAGCAGGCGCGGCAGGAGAGGTCTGCGCACCATGTGGGACTCTCCCTGGTGGTCCAGGATTGAACCAGCGCTGCTGCAGAGGCTGCGGGCAGCTTCGTAGCCCAGCGCTCAACTGCTCCGCCACTGGGGAGGCCCTGTAGATGTATCTTTAAAATGGGAACTTCTGGGTTCTTTCTGGAAGGGATTTGGTATCTGCATTTTACAAGCTTTCCAGACTCACCCTAGGCCCCCTAAGGTTAGCATACTGAAGAATGTGCTTACATCTTTCGGTTTCCTCATCCCAAACCACATTTAAAAATGAACTCTCAAGTTAGAAAACAATGGTGAGATGATTGGGAAATTTGAACACGGATTGAATATTTTATACTAAGAAATTGTTAAACTCAGGTATCACAGAGTATTGTGTTTAGGGTTAATGAGGCATACTGAAACGTTTATGGGTAGAATGATATATGGCCTGGGGCAGGGGGAGGGAAGTCTAAGGGGCTTCCATAAAATAAGACTGACCATTATTGAAACTGGGCGGTGGGTACGTAAAGACACATTGCACTATGCTATTTACTTTTGTCTATTTGAAACCCTGCAGAATAAAACATTGAAAAAATAAATACCAGGGAATTCTTTCATTCAACAATAGCACCTAACTTGATTGGAGAGGACGTTTCATGATAGATAGAGATCTCCTTGGGGGTCAAGGACAAAATCTTTTTTGAAAGTATCTTAGAGCCATTTCTTACAGAACTCAATGCTAAGACCCGTTTTTAGTTGATTCTTTTCTTTTAAATGGCTAGGAGTACACAGTGAAGTCTCCAAATCTGAGGATACCAATAGCTCTTCTGGACAATGAACTGTCAAATCGATCAAAGAAAATTGCAGGAAATTTTCACAAAGCTGTGCAGGGGAAAACAAACACAAGATGAAATTCAGTACATGCAGGGAGGGTTGGTGGACCCTTTGAGAACCATCACGGGCTGCTGAGCTCTGAGTCATAGTAACAAGCCAGAAAAAGGACTCAGGAGGCGACACACAGGTTATGGTAGACATTGGCTCCTAAAGCTAGTAATGTCATTAGGTAGAGTCCTGGCAACCCCCAAAAAGGCATGCTGCCCTTTATCTTTAATTCCAAGTGGCTGTCGACTGTAAGACATACTGTTAGTTTAATATCAGATTTGCAAGGAGAATGCAGGACCCCACTCCATCAAATGCACATGCTGATAATTATGCAGATCCTTGTTTCATCTACATTGAACAGTGAAAAATGTGTCCCCTGGGAATCCATGTTATTTATTGAGAGCCTCCTTTATAGTGGAGTATCTCTTTTTTAAATTTATTTTTGTTTATTTATGCATACAAGAGCTAGGGTGCAGGCAAGAGGTGTGTGTGGAGGGGAGGGGGTAAGATGATTCACCAGAGACACAATGGGGAGCAGAACAGGCAGATCCACTGAAATACACTGCTGAGAGGACCGGTGGGCAAGACAGGAGAAGTCTGCTGTGCCATGTGGGTAGCTCCCGGGCAGGGATTGAACTCACACTGCAGTGGTTGGTGATAGCTTGATAGTGCTGAGACTTTAATCCCTGTGCCACAGTGAGGCCCCTCAGCAGAATATATTTTAAACTCACCTTATTCTAATAAAAATCCTCTGTGGAAACCCACAGCCTGGGTGACTGGCCTAGGGTTACCTGACCCCATTAAATGGCAAAGCTAGTTTCAATTCAAACTCAGCTATCCCTGAACTGGGACACACGGGGGCATTCCAGAGGGTAATTGGGCAAAAATAGTACCCAGGAAACCAGCTTCCAGAGTCAATTTCCAGAGCCCTCTTTCCTAAAATGGACGTATCTGAGAACACAATCGTGTTCGCACTGCGGGGCCATCCCTGTTTTACAAAAGAAGGGGAACCGACAGCTCATTGGGTGATTCCATAGTTCTTAGGCCTGTTGCACTCTTAGGTCTGTTGCACCACTCCTGGTGGTCACAGAACTGGGGTGGTGGGCAATAATGATTTTCATTTCACCATTTTGTTCTTCTTTCCTCCTACTTTCTCCAATGATTGCATACTCCCAAAGGAGAGTCCTAGGGGAACAAAGAAAAAGATATCTGAGAGACAAAGATGGCTTTTTCCCTTTATATAAATGTGATCAACTAAATATTCTGAAGCATAAAAAATAATATATCAGGACAGACATCTGTGGAAGGAGTGTGAACATGCATACCAGGAGATTTTTCTGAATGTTCAATGAGCTTTCGTTATCCATGTTTAAAAGGATCATGGTGGGTATTGGACCACAGGTGTTCCATGAGATGGGATCAGTTTGAAAGTGTCATATGATAGTTTTAAACATCGATATTTGCAATAGGTTAGATCTCACTTTTGGCAGCCACTTAAGCTCAGATAAACAATTTAGACTTAATCTCTTAAATGGGCTGGAGGCAGGAGTGGATAGTTCTAGGAAATTATGTTGGGGGTCCATACATAAACCATTGAGGTTGAAGACTGTTGCTCTGACTGACAAAATTCTATGGGTTTCCCCACCTTTTATACATACCCACTTCTCTAAATTGACTCTTTTGGCCTCCTCAATACTTGTATGACATCGATAGGCAACAGGGGGTTGGGGGAATAGGAAGATGGTAAAATTTTCAGTAATGAGTAAGTTCACTGGGGCTCTGGAGATCAGCATGGTGACTACAGTTAATGATACTCTGCTGTCTACTTGAAATTTGCTAAGACGGTAGATCATAAATGCCCTCACTACAAAAATAAATGGTAAAAGAAAAACACAAGGAAGAAATAAGCAGCTTTTTCTTCTGAACTCTAGAAAATGTATGGAAAACTAATCTATACTGATTCTTCACCATGGGTCTGGCCGTGTTAGGGCCTTTACATACGTCAGTCTTCATTGCTCATGGTGGGCACACTTATCCCCTTTTCACTGATAGGGAAACAGAGGCTCAGAGGATAAATAAGATGCTAATATGACTTACAGTTGCCTATGGCTTATTTTTGGTAACAGGAGAGTCACCATTTAGCCCAGTTCTGTCTTAATTCAAAACCAGTGTTTCTCCATTAAATTTTGTTGCCTCTAGAAATCAGAGACCAATTTGGGGACACACTGTTGTTGGTTTTTTTTTTTTTTTCCTTCTAATTAAAACAACGTAGCCCACAACACCCTGACCAATTCTTTCCTCCTATTCTCACAACATCCCCCAAGGCCGGGGGCAAGCTTGAGTGTTGGGGCAGACTTCCAAGAGAGCATGGCCAAACCCCGCCTGGCCTCCTCCTACTTCCCCCTCAATCCAGGCTCCACTGAGAGCCTGTCCCAGCTCCACCCCTTCTCAGGCATGATCAAAGGAAGGGAGGGAAACAGTGGCAAGCCGGAACCCCTCGGACTTGCAGCTGAATGGGGATTTTGGTCGGATGTTGAGTTTACCTGGAATGCCCCGGTGCTATTTTGGGAAGACAGACATCCTAGGGAAACAATGAAATGGAAAAGAAAACAGCCAAAGCAAATTCTGGAGCCCAGTTTTTGCCAAACCAGCCTCATGCAGCCTGGGCAGTTCCTGCAAGCCCAGGACATGGGAAGGGCTGAGGCCACAGGTGTCTGGCTTACCAGCAGGGAGTGTGAGGTTGGAAATAATCTCCAATAAAGTGCCCAACAAACCAGTGACATAATGGAAAGATCCTGGGAACAGGCTGCCAGGAGAGAGAGCAGTGCAGCCCGGCCGAGGTTGGAGGCTCTGCTCCACCATTTTTAGCTGGCTGACTTCAGGCAAGTATCCTCCTTGAGAAGATAGGGTGACTCGTAGGAGTCGCCTCTGGGTTTCAATGAGGAGGCAAATTAAAAGGCAGAACAGTGGCATGTCTTGTTACCAATATAAAGCTGACAAATACTGGCTATTCCTGCATGAGCCTGGAGAGCACCAGTTAGCACAACAGCCTTAAATGCTCTATTTCTCAAAGGAACAAGGAGCATATACGTACCCTGCATGTAGCTTCTTTAGCAGCCAAGAAAAGAAGCTTTTATCATATTCTCTTTTCTGCTGGGCTAGGGGAAAACACCTTCCTGGAGTGGGTCTGAGTTGGTGCATGACTAGAGCAAACAAGAACTATAATGTCAATGTAGCATCTAGATACATCGCCTTTTATTTCAGGTAAACATTTTTCAAGATTGTCTTGTGTGACAATCCTTTCATCATAGGGCCAGAAAGAAGCAGCTTTTAAATGAGATCGGGAGGTAAACTGGAAATGATAGATAATAACAATGTTGCTGAAAATGTGGGGAAACCAGAACTGTCATCTGCTGCTGATGGGAGTGTAAAGTGCTTTGAAAATACTTACAACTTGGCGGTTCTTAAAATGTTAAGCATGGAGTTGCCATATCTGCTAGGTATCTACCCAAGAGAAATGAAAACGTATGATCATACAAAAGCTATTACATGGAAGTTCGCAGTGGCATTGTTCATAATAGCCAAAAAGTGGGAATGACTGATGAATGGATAAGCAACTCCCACCCTCCCCTCTTTGCAGCATCCCAGTCTCCTGGAAGAAGAAAGAACGAGCCATCTCCTTCCTGCAGCATGCAGAGGGGCTGGAGGACAAGCAGCCCCTGCAAGCCCAGGAGTTTACCATCGCATCCTGCCAACAGCTATCTGTTTCTTTGTCCCCTGAGCCCCTGGCCCGCACCTCACTATAAGGGGAGAATATGGCACTTTGACCCTACACAGTCCTATTGTGCAGAAGCAAGTGAGTCTGGGTTGCTGGGATGGAGTGGGTAAAAATTTTAAACCAGAAGCTTGAGGTGTCTTTCCAGTAACTATTCCCCAGAACTGAGCATACACCCAACCCCAAGGAGAAAGGAAGAGGTCCTGGCTAAAGGGTAGCTCTGAAGTCAGATTCCCTTGGCCCGAAACTCAGCACTTTCATCTTGCCACTTGCAAGCTTGGCCAGGGCAAGGGGGGTTTACCCCTCGCTACCTCAGTCCTGTCATCTATAAAATGGAGGCAATAAACACACCTGCGTCACAGGGTTTTAAGGTTTGAATAAGATGATGTGTGCAAAACTCACGCCTGGCACAGAGTAAGTGCTCAATAAACACCAGCTGCTATCACTGAAGGAAAAGTACTCAGCAGGGATTTGATTAGAAAAACAATAATAGACCCCATTGCTTTGTCCCTCGAGGCACTCACAGAAACCAAGTTTTAAAAAGAGGTCGACATTTTGAGTCTCGGCACCTGGGCAACTGCAGAAGCGCTGACGCGGCGAAGCTCCCTCTCCCTTCTGGTTTGCAGGAGCACTCCCTCTGTCTGACCGCCGTTCCAGCCGCGAGATAAACAGAATGAACTCGCCAATGGACATTGTTCTCCAGCAGGCCTGGCCCTGGCCCAGCTGGGGCGAGCATTTCCTTTCCAGCATTCCAAAATGCGACAGTGCCGAAAGATAATTAAAAATCAGCTTGCAGTGCAACTGAGAAAAAGGCGCTGAGCTCCTCAAGTGTGGAGCAGCCAGGGTTTTGCAGGTTATTAATTAAGCAAGCTCACATTTGCGTGATGTAGAGGACAATTGTCGTGTTGGTAGCTGCCAGCTTTGAATGGCGTTTGTATATCTGGATGACTTTTGGCGGCGGGGGTCAGAAAGGTTCTCCAGATCGAACTTGCAGGAGCTGGAGGAATGGTTGACAAACAACTTGAACTTCACCTCATTTCACCCGGTCATGACTTGGGGACACCAGAAAGTCTTGATTTGAATGTCTTTCACATGGGTCAGTGACAAGGATCGTATGCTCACTCTACCATTACAGGGAAAACTGAGGGGCAGAGAATCATGAGACGCCATGTGGCAGAGATCCAGGGGTGCAGAGACTCCCAGAGGTGCGTGACTGTGTGTGGTCAGCCAGACTCACCTTGCCACAAACCTGTCTCTGTGACCAGATGGAAAGAAGACCTAGGTCTAGGACAGAGGTAGGGCAGGAGAATGTGATTTATTTCCACCCTCGAGGCCCTGCAAGGATGAGGCTGCCCAGGAAGATAGGCTGCAGGGTCTCTAGCTAGGCAAGGGCAGAGGATGACCAGTGTGGTGCCCAGATCTGGTCAAGGTGGAGTTTTCCTCTCATCTGCCCTTTAACTATCATTCTTACTGCCTCTGATAAGAGGTATTCCATAGACTGACAGTTCCATAGACTGGCAGGTGAGTGGACCCTGCTCTAGAACAGCACCCCGTTCTAGACATTGACTTAATCCCCTCTCCTCTGCCTTACTCCTGGCCCAAGCGGTTGGGACTGAAGCTACATGTTTGCACAACATGACACTGTCTCGATAGTCACATGTGATGGTCCAGATGTAGAACTTGACCCAAGAGAGACAGGTCACGTTGAAAGAGGACTTATTTCCTTTCCTGAGGTTTGAATAACTGGTAAAATCTTCTGTCCTACGTGGCAATTTTGGGAAAGAGAAAACCTATAGTAGGCAAAAAGTCCTTCTGAATGCAAATCCCAACTCCACTATTTACTAGCTGTGTGTCTCTAGGCAAACTACCTAACCCCTCTGAGCTTGATAAGTAATATCTATTATCAACTATAGAGAGTTGCCGAGAGGTTAAAATGAGATGATGTTTATTGGGAGCCAGACACCAAGAGGCAGTCAATAAATGGCGATCTCCCTTCCCTAGCTTCCCAAATGAGGCAAAATCATGGGCATCTGGGTGATGTGGTCCAAATTCATTGTCTACATACAAGAGGTGAGTTTAATAGAACCCAAAACAGGACTTGTTGGCTTATAGAAATTTTTTTTTAACTACGTGAACATGTTTATAGCAGGGTTTGACGGTGGGTCAGTTCTGGAAATACATAGTGAGGACCTCACAGGTGGGTACCGTGAAAGTCTGTCTCTCACACCATAGAATGTGACACACACATTCTACAGCGCTCAGCAGGGCCCATGCCCAGGACATGATGATGTCTAATGCCAGGCCTGGTGCTTCACTGGTTCACGAGGACCCCTTTGGACAGATTCAAGAAAGTCTGCCTCCTGCTTCTGCCAGAGCCGGTTGTGCTGTTACCAGTGGACTGCTAGTGAGGTTAACTGTAATCACTGAACAGCAATTGTCTCTTCACTCCTCTGATGCCCTACAAGCTAGAATGTGCTACAGCGGTGATGTAAAGTCCCGTAAACAGAGGTAGCAGTGTCTTCATGCTGGGAGGAGAAAGGCCTGTGGGCAGCAGTCAGTGATGCAAGTGAAGGTGGGGGCAGGGGAAAAGAGGCAGTATTAGCTACCCCCAGAGCAGAACAGAATCACAGACCCCTACGAAGGATACCACAGTATATATATTTTGCTGCTAACATGTGCTAAGTCAAGAGCTACATGTTTTCTCTGCAGTCTTATTTCATCTTCAAATAACCCTATGGAACAGGTACTATTAATATTTAAACTCTGCAGAGAGGTAAAGGGCCTTGTCCAAGATCATTGCTGCTAAGCAGTCATGTCAGGACCTTAACCCAGGTTTCTATGAGATTCCCTGAGTCACCATTTCCATGCTGCTTCAATACTGAAGGTGAAAAAGCCTCAGGAATCAGCCCTCTGGAGCAACATATGTGCTCACTGAACCAGTTATATCGGCATCAGCTGGCAGCTTGTTAGCCAAGTGGACTCCCAGCCCCACCCCAGTCTGCGGAAGTGGACCCCCTGGTGTGGGTGTGTGCACCTTCAACGAGGAGGCTTGCTCCAGGAGAGCCATGGTTTCCCTCAAGCTTTCCTCCGATCAGCTGCAGATGTTAATGGCAATTAAAAAGTTTCATGATCCAATGCGTTTAGGAAAAAGTGAGTTGAACAAAGCCAATGTGGCTCCTTTGTTACTGGATCGCTCAGTGCCTTTAGCAGGCTGGGGGGAGGTGCTAATTAGGGGGTGGGGGTTGCTGTATTCCTCAAACTTATTTAACTTTTGAGACTTTTTGAGAAGCAAATTGCAAAACTTGCATACCAAATAATTTGCTTCGGGGAACAACTGATTTCGACCAAGTACCTTATAGCACAGCTGTCAATGAGGTCCATTTGTCTGTCTGTCCATTTGTCCAGGGGGGCAGTCAGCTGTGGCAGGTCCCTTTGTGGACCGCTCTCTTATCAAGGTGCTAGGCAGGGAGGCTGTAAAGGCAGGAGTGGACACAGTGCAGGATCTCTATGATCCGAGCAGACAGGTGAAGGAGAGTCCTGGAGCCCTTGGTGGCTTTTGAGGCTTTTATTGGGATTTTACTGGGTACACAGCAGGCAGGGGTACTGGGGGGCCGGGAGGCTGGCAGGCCACCCAGCCCCCAGCAAATCTTCACTCTTTTGCTCTCGTTCTCTCTGCTTCTCTTTTGGTCACTTTCGTTCTCTTCTGCTTCTGCTCTCTTGGCTCTCTTGGTATCCCTGTGATGCCGCCCTTGTAAGGCCAGCCTTAGCCCAGGTGTACCCACTTACGCATGCCCACACCCCACTCCAGGTGCCCGCCATCAGGCATGCCTTCAGGACCGCAAGGATCCATCATGGCGGGAGGGCAGAAAAGCCTGAAAATCACTTACCCTACAGAGGCCCAGAAATTTAATTCTAATCCCAACCCATGCGTCTCCTGAGCTCCTTTTCCATTTATGAAGATGTGAGCTTGTTCCTTCATCAAGCTGGATAGGAGGCCGGAGCCAAACAAGTTAACTAGTGTCCGAGCTCCTGTTCGGGGCAGACCCAGAGGCCAGACATCCTAGAACTAACAGTCGGCAAGCAGAGGCGGGAGCGCAGGTGTGCCTGGTTCCAGTGCCCGGTCGGCTTCTGCCCTCTGTGGTGGCAGAGATCCTGGTAACCTGGCGGCCATGCTTGGCTGAGCTGGGTCCAGAGTCTGCAGAAGTTGAATCCGGAAGAGGGAGCCAGGTTTTCTTGTGGTCAAGCCTTGGAAAACTCAGCTTCGGGGTCACAAAAAATGGTGAGTCACAAGCCAGCCCTTGGGAGAGATGAAGGACAATGTGTATGTATGTGAGGGGTGGGGTGGGCAGAAGACCTATTTTCTGATTTCTAGAAGGGGGCAGGAATTGAGTCTGTGCTTAAGGTCTGGCCCAGGCGTGTGAATTCTGGGAGTTTTCTGGATCTCAGAGGAAGCGCCTCCAGCCGCTGCCCAGCGTGGGGGGCAGGAGGAGCCTGTTTCCTCACTGCAGAGTAAGCCCAGCATCCAGGCATCTCAAAAGGATGGGTCCAATGAGGACAGTGATGTCCAGTCTTGGACGTCCAACACTCTTCTCTGGGATGCTTTGAACTCTGAACTTAGAGTCACAGAATGATTGGAAATTTTTCCATCGAGGCACAGTCATTAGTTTCTTTGGGTGAGGCAGGCAAGGAGACCGAGAAAGCACCCTGCCCGGCGCGGGCTCCGTGCTTGGCATTCTGCGCCATCACCTCCTCCTCCCGCCCTGTGGCAAGCAGTACTTTCCTCCTCTTACACAGACCAGGAGACGAGGCACAGAGTGAAGTTAAGCAGTTCGCCTGAGGTGAGAGAACTGAGACGTGAACCCAAGTTTTGGATTCCAACACTCTCTTAGGAGACATTTTAGTCTGGGGAACCAGGACTAGGGAGAAAACAAAGTGGGGGTGAGCAATACCCATACTCCCATGAGGGGTAGTCCAGCCCTGGCCCCCCACACTTGGGCCCCTCAGGCCCACAACACTGCGGCAGAGCCACAGAAGACGGCATCCCCAGCGGTTACCCTGAGCCCCCAGCTGGAGCCCAGGCTTCAGTTATTAAAGCCTCTAGGGATCCCAGTGCATAGACAAGGCTGAGCTCTACCCTCCTCACTCCAGACACGAGGCGTTGAGCCCAGGGAGCTGAAGTAGCTTTCCTGAAGGGGTGTAGCCC